CCAGATGGAGCCCTTCCCCCTGCGCGTGTTCGTGAACCCCAGCCTGCGGGTGCTGGACAGCCGCCTGGTCACGTTCCCCGAGGGCTGCGAGAGCGTCGCCGGCTTCCTGGCCTACGTGCCCCGCTTCCAGGCCGTGCAGATCTCAGGTGCGGGGTGGCAGGGACCCTGGGGCAGCTGGGGAAGCGCTTGTGTCTCTTCTGCCTGTGGAGGCGGCGGCCTCGGATCCAGGAAAGTTTCTGTAAAGCTCCAGTTCAGGTGCAGATACGTTGATGGCTGATCAGCGGAACTTCCCGGCGTGAACAAAGGACAGGATCTGGGAAGTGACGGGACTCAGGACTAACAGACTGGGGCACAGCCAGCTCAAGTGGAGGAGCCGGGGTGGGAGGTAGAGTGGGGGTGTTAGGATGGCCCGGTGCCGCTGTTTCCTCACGGCTGGTCCTCTGCTCTGTGTCCTGGCCCCCTCTGTCTGTCACACATTCTTCTGCCCCAGATTAGATCTGTCATGTGGAGCGGGAGAAATGGGACCTCTTGCCCTGCCCAGCCCAGCCCAGGGTGAAGGTGACACCCATTCCCGGCCTGTCATACCAGGATGTTTTGTGGAATGTGGTTCTTTGCTGGGGTTGTGATGATTGTTCCTCCTGAGCAAGCCACTTGGTCCATGAGGGTCAGAAAGTCAGTGGTCTCCCTTACTTTATATTGCACCAAGCTGGAGTACTTTTTGTTAGGAATCGAAAGCGAACAGCAATACTTCAGAGGTGGGAGGAGTGTTCAGGAGAGAAGCACCTTATCAGGAAGATCACATAGGAAGCCCAGCAACCTACCTGTTAGAGTTGGGAACTAAGTTGACTACTTGGTAACTGGCAGACGTGGGGCACCTTTTCTAGGAGGATAAGAGGTGCCGAGTTCCCTTCTGATGTTGCCTCTTGTGAACAGGAACATCCAGGGGCAAGGGAAGGTGGTAAGGAGGCTGAGAGTGATGCAGTTCAGCATGTCCTCACCCAGACTGTAACTTCCTTTGCAGGGCTGGACCCCAGAGGAGAGCAGGTGGTGTGGCAGGCCAGTGGGTGGGCAGCACGCATCATCCAGCACGAGATGGACCACTTGCAGGGCTGCCTGTTCATTGACAAAATGGATAGCAAGACATTTACAAACATCCATTGGATGGAGGTGAATGACTAAACCTTTCCCGAGGATTCTGAAAACCAGGACACAAACACTTCAGCTTTGAGCCAGGCTTGTCTTACTTGGCATTGACTTGCCTCCGACACAAAACAATGGACTTCCGAAGCATGCTGAACCGAGTTGGAGGAAGATGTTAAAAACGATTGCTCCAGGTTGAGCTATAAAATACTGCCTTCCACTTGAGAAGAAAACTAACTCCCCTGAAAGAATGGACATTTCCTGATAATTTTGTATGGAAGATGAATGGGGCAATAACCACTCTCAGTAGACATGACTTCATAAGACCTGTGCCATCAATTCCCAAAGCCAAGATTTGGTAATAAATGTAGGTCCCGAATATCTGAAAGCCGTGTTCAAAAATGCAGATTAAGGCTGTGATTGACTTTATTTACCAAATTCTTATTTTACAAGGGATTTCTGTGTCTTACCTCAAGTCCTTTGCATTGGACACCAGTGTGCTTGTGGAAGTAAACACAGGCAGAATGGCCCCAGTTCATGGAAGTGTTTACCGAGAATCGTATATAATAAAACCCTAATATGCAGAATGACCAGTTGCTATGATGCGCACTGACCACCAGGGGGCAGACGCTCAGTGCAGGAGCTGCCCCCTGGTGGTCAGTGCGGTCTCACAGGGGGAGCGCTGTTCAGCCAGAAGCTGGGCTCACAGCTGGTGAGCGCAGCGGTGGTGGGAGCCTCTCCCGCCTCGGCAGCAGTGCTAAGGACCCCTCGGGATGTCAGGCTGCGAGAGGGTGCAAGTCAGGCTTAGCCCCCCCCCCCCCCCCCCCCAGTGCATGAATGTTGTGCACTGGGCCTCTAGTATTAAAATAAATGAGTACCCACACACATTGACACATGCAGATAGTTTAGGCTTCCACCTTTTGCCTTTCACCTTTAACAGACCTGGGGAGGACTTTTCTGCTGAGATTTCTTGGGCAGCTGATACTTGGCTTGTTCTTTGGGGGAGGCCAATGAGCCTCTTCCCATCACAATTTGAGTAGAAAGAACTTGTGCTTCCTGGTCACCACACTTACTTTGGAAAAATAAATTAGCATAATGATGACTGACCAGTGTTTAACCTTAAGATGTTGTCAGAGGTGAAGGAATTTGTTTCTTTAGGTTGGCTTACCTCATTTTTATGTTGTTTTGCATCGTTAATACTCTTACCAAAGTCCTCAAAGTCCAAATGCCCATGTAGTAAGAAGTCCAGTAAGTTGTTTAGAGAGAATGAATGATGGCTTCTCCATCATTAATAAAACGAACCCTCCTTACAGAACTCTCCTCTAAGGCTTTTTCTCAACAGGCTGAGTCTGGGGGCCTATGAGGCCACGCAAAAGTGAACTGGCTCTCTGTGCATTAAACTCTGGAAGGAACAGGACTTAGCACTACCCCGAGGTGAAGTCAGGCACTCAGCCATTGGGGAAGTCTGTAGAAAGCTCTCAATACTGAAAACATGTCCTTAGAAAAACGAATTCAGTGACCCCCTTTCCCTCAGACAATGTTCAGAGACTGCTGCAGAGTGGCCTCAGAACATTCTGGGCGCTGGCCAGGTAGCTCTACTGGTTAGAGCAACATCCTGATACTTCTAAGTTGCTGGTTCCATCTCTGGTGAGGGCACATACAAGAAGCAACCAATGAATGCATAAATAAGTGGAACAACAAGTCAAAGTTTCTCTCTCCCCCGTCCTCTCTCTCAAATTAATTAAAAAAAACAAACATTCGGATGCCTCCATACAGAGCTCTGAGGTTAACAGTTCTTAGTAAAACACTACAACCCAAAGGCAAATCCTTGCATTTCCAATGAAGAAAATCTCTTCCACCTGAGGCAGCTGTATTAGCCACAAAACCTCACACACAAATCGGCACCTGGAGCTGAGTTTTAGAAAATCAACTTCCACAGTGAAAGCCAATGTAGGTAGAAGGTTTAGAACAGAATTCCAGGTAGGGAAGCAGTGGATTTCAGAGGGAGCATTTAGGGGAGGAAATTCCTCTGCACACATGCGCCATGATTAACAGAGACCGAGGCCACAGCATCAGTCCGAGTTAGTTCAGCCTCAGGGGGTGTCTGTGAAAGCTGTGACTACAGCTATGAGATGAACTGTGACTCGTCTAGGTGTCCAACAGAGGAAATGAGGAAGCAGGTTTAAAAAAAGGGGGGAAGGGCAAGGACCTTCTGATTCAAGTAAAGGTAAAGGAGATAGAGTAATAAAATACGACTACACACAAAGTTAAAATAAAACAGTACAGGCAGGGGGCAGTGTCTTATCCTGGCTTCTAGGCCAGCATTTACAAACATAATGGCTGGCTGAGAGCACATAACTAACCAAGAAGTATATATGTGGGAACTCCAGAGCAAGCAACAAAAATTCCAGTCACAGTTGCTGTGTAAGTGTCATCTGGAGGTCAGGCTGGCTGGCGCTCCAGGTAGCGAGGCTAACTCAGTAGCAATGGAGAGGAGCACCAAGCCCAAGCCTTCAAGAAACATAAAAATGAGGTAAGAAGGCTCAACTCAGCAGACACTTTAAGAATTAGCAGGAGGGGGGCGGGGGGAGGAAAGAAATTAGCTGAATTCAGCAGACACTCCTAACCAGATGAAAGGAACACCACAGTGCAAGGCTAACACGATCTAAGAGTTGGCCACATACTCAGTTCTGGACCATTCGGGTTTGAAGAGTCCCGTGGGGGTGGAGGGGGAACGGAGGAGGAAGGCTGAACAACCCGAGCCAGGCCTTTTCTGCATGTTCGTATCTCATGGTCAACGTGACAGCCATTACTGCGTCTGCTCCGTCAGACAGCATTTCCAGGGCTGCCAGCTCTGGAGACTCGGGTGTCTGACAAAGTCAATCGGGCCAGGCAGGCGATGCAAATGTGTGAGCAGGCCACCTGGGGATGGTGAACGCACAGCATGTGACAACTGAATAGGGCCGCCCCTGCTCGGCTGCAGCTGATATGTGGCCTCCTGGGGACACAGGCCCAGCATTACCTAACTAGAATTTTTGTGTCTACTCTTGAGTTTTAAATGTTGGCAGCAGAGCAAACAGCTGCAGGCCACATCTGGCCCACAGGCCTCCCAGTTTGAGACTCTGCTCGGGAGGCTGGACAACAGGAACAACTGCCCGAGTCCCTCAAACACCCCTGGCCACACTTTTGAGGCCCCGGGGGAAGACAGGTCTCAGGAACCTGACTGGCATCTAGGCCTCGGCACAGTGGCGACATTCC